TTAATTGTGGTATATAATGACTACCAAAATGAATACCATAAATGAACTCGGATGGGAGACCACCTATGACTACCAGGTACTGTAATCTATACTTCAGAAGGAAGGAACTGGCAAAGCCACCTCTGAGTACTCCTTGCCTAAGAAAACCCTGTGAAATTGACGGTGTGGCTGGCCGTAAGTCGAAAGGCGACTTTAAGGCACATACACACAAACAGGCATAGCACAACTGACTTAAAATAAAGAGGGGAAAAATAAACAAATAGATATAAGAAATAAATTTAGCATTGAAAAATGAGACAAAATAATAACAAAATAATAAAATTGTATTGAATACAGCTCTGTATGCAAATAATGAACATTAGATAAAGAGTGGGAGAGAAGACTGATTAAAGTGATATGAAGTAAACCTAAAGAGATTGGAAGACTGTGGATCATAGGGTATATAGTCAAAGACGTGATGGAATACTTGCCTCAATAACAAAAGAAAGCTTAGATAACAACTGTATGAACAATTTAAAGATGATAAAAGTATTCTATCTTACCCTGAAAGAGCTTGTGCAAGATAGATAAGCACTTTAATTTGCAAGAGAGAAAAGTAGAACTGCTTTAGGAGCCTTTTGGCTTTTACATGCGGAAATGATGAACCACTTGGTAATTTGTTTTAGATTATGGCAAATCTCATAATCCCTTATCATTGGCTATACTGACTAGGGCCAGTGAGTTTAAGACTAACAAAATCTTGGAGGCCATAGTTGCCTATCCTTGGTTTTGGTGGTTATCAGAACCAAGCCAATGGCAGTTGTTAAATGAGTGCTCAGTGAAACAGACATGAACAAGAGAATGACTTCTTTATGATATAATTTGGAAATGTTCCTTATTTGGACCACAACTGCCAGAATTCCCCCACTAGCATGACTATAGATTTTTAGGGTTCATTTTCGGTGGTGGCGGTAATTATTCAACACCTAATAGAATTGCATGCAAACATAGATTTTGCCACACCACGATTTGCCTTTTGTTGCTTACATATAGTACTTATTAAAAACACAGTGAGCTTTGTGCTACAACAGTATGAAAACATTTAATTGCCTCCATATCTTGATTGAAAAATAAAGGGGCACCAGTGGGAATTCTGCAAAAGGTCTCTTTGACTGGACATTTTTTGAAGCTGCTTCCAGAGTAATATTAGTTGTGAATTTATGATGTCTTGTGTTCACTTATGAAGGTGCCCTTTTGAATTCCAATTAATTTTGACAATACACAGAAGAAAAATGATCACCCAGGGATGTCTCTGAAGGATTTAGGATTTAACACCCCAAACCTTCTGTTCTGTATTAGTACTTCATTTCAGTTTTTGTTATATGCATTGGAAAGTGACATGTGGCTGATTAAATGTTGTTGTGGAGTCTGTGATTCTTAATTTCATTAGATACTTAAATATTAAACCATAGCAGGTTTTTTTTAATTGCATTGCCTTGTTTTGCTTTGAATGATACTAAAAAAATAATACATTGCTAATACATGGTATTCCCAGGCTGAATATCCAGGACAATAAATGTAGACTCTGACATCTTTCAGATCTATCAGATCAACAGCTCTAGCAGCAACAGTGCTTATTTCCACATGCTGTTTGCCTTATGTTCCCTAATCTGGTTCTGGAGGGACCACTTCAAAGGATTAAGGTAGTTTAATTTTCATGCCTCTTTAATCTTTGGCTTCTTCTGCTAGAACTGCTAGCAAATGTGCCAGTAGGGATGGTGAACTAAACTCAGCACATTTGATGTACAATGACCAAACAGCATACTGAGATTCAGTACAGTTCCGCCAATGTTAAGCACTTGTAAATCCCACTGATGTTACTGCTCATGCTCAAGTCTCTTTCTCTGGACTTAACCACAGTTTGAATTTGTCTGAATTTTGTCTGACCTTGTAGAACAGCTGGTAAAAGTGGTAAAAGTAGGTAAAAATATGACTTTTTAATTAAGTCTGCCTGGTTGTTGTTGTTGTTTTTTAAATACAAACTATGTTTGGGGCCAGAGGATAGTGGTTTATTAAATAGCTAGCAGTATTTATACATTTGATTTTAATATATACGGTAGTGTGTTTGCAAGTGTTTTTTTTTTTACCTGTGAGCTGCCTTGGGCCCCTTCTGGGAGAAAGATTAACTCATAGTCCATTGGAAAGTCAGGGTGCAAGGGCTTGTAGAGAACAGTGCCCCAATGGGCTGCCCCTACTGATCTGCCTATGCATCAAATGCTTCAAAATGGCAAGATAATTAGTGATGACTCACACAAGGCTCAAGCACTAGGCTGGATATAACTTCATTCATAAAGAGGCATGCTGCCTTCTCTGGAAATGCTGTTTCTAATTATAAAATGCATTCTGTGTAGTTTGAAGTTGCAATTTTTAATGGTGTACATATTAGCCTACAAAGAATTTCATATCTATACCAAACAATACTAGTAAGGAATCTCCAGCCAATAAGTTTCTGCCCCCAGGCCTCCACTCCTTGCCCCTCTTTCACCACTGCTCATTTGTTTCCCATCAGCCAGTTCAACAGGATGGTGATGGGGTTAAAGACTTCAGGGAAATGTTTGCCTTTCTTCCCTTGATCTTCACACATACACACTGATCTGCTGGCTGGCAAGGAGCAGCACAACAGCAGGGAAAGGAGGAAGTTAATTGAAGACCCTATACTGTACACAAATTCTGGGGCTGGTGTTTGCCTTCAAGTTGCTTCTGACTTGTGGAAATCCTAAAGAGACCCTATCACACGGTTTTCTTGACAAGTTTCCTCAGAGGGGGTTTGCCATTGCCATCCTCATTTCTGTTTTTCCTTAATCACCTGAAAAGAGTTGGTGGTGGGATTTTGGACCTAACACATTCATTCTGAGAACTTCACATGCTTGTTCTTCACTCCAGTTCAATGACAACCATGACAGCAAGGATGAGTAACAGTAAGAAATACAGTAGGAAATTGTTGTAGTTGTTAACTGCCCTTGAGTCGACCTTGACTCATGGTGACCCTGTGGATGAGACATCTCCAAGAACCCATGTCCCCCACTCCTCTGCTCAGGTTCTTCAGGCTCAGGCCCGTGGACTCTCTGACTGAGTCCAACCATCTGGCATGTGGACTTCCTCTCTTTTTATTGTCCTCTACCTTTCCTAACATCACTGTCTTTTCCAATGATTTATGCCTTCTCGTGATGTGGCCAAAGTACAATAGCCTCAGTTTAGTCATCTCGGCTTCCGGGGGAGTTTGAGTTTAATTTATTCTAGAACCCATTTGTTTGTCTTTTTGGCCATCCACAGTTTCCTCTGGATTCTTCTCCAGCACCACATCTCAAATGAGTTTATTTTCTTTCTATCAGCTTTTTTCACTGTCCAGCTCACACATGTGTTCATGGTGGTGGGGAATATGCTGGCTTGGATGATCCTCACTTTAGTGTTCAGTTATATCTTTGCTCTTTAGGATCTTATCCAGTTCTTTGATATCTGATTTTTCAGTCCTAGTCTTCTTGTAATTTCTTGACTTCATTTTCCATTCTGATCAATATTTGATTCCAGTTATAGGAACTCTTTCACTATTTCAGTTTCCTTGTTATTTAGGATGAATTCTTGTAGATATTCTGTGGTCATATTTTTTGTTGTTGTTTTCTTAATGTTTAGCATTAAACCTACCTTAGCACTTTCCTCCTTGATTTTCTTCTGTACAGTCGCCCCTCCAAGTCCACGGACTTGAAATCCGCAGAGGGGCAACTATCATTAGCATGAATGGGGCACTTGGATCCCCTTCAAGTTACGAGGGATGACTGTAATTGCTCCAGGTCCTTGTTGGATTCTGCTACTAGTATTGTATCATCTGCATATCGTAGGTTGTCAATGTTCCTTCCTCCAATCTTCACTCTTCCTGCCTCTGAGTCTAAGCCTGGTCTGCGTATGATATTTTTCCCATACAAGTTCATTTATGGTATTCATTTTGGTAGTCATTATATACCACAATTAAGTGGAATATCTGATAGTGGAGTCCCAACAATGCAGATAGTCCTCCTTCATGAATCCAATACCAGGGTTTTACCTGTAAAGAGTTTATATTTGTTTGTTATCAATGAAAGCATAAGAAAATTAACATAATGGGTGAGACAAAACTACTGATGGTTATTGTTGTGTGCCTTCAAGTCAATTCTGACTTATGGCAACCCTGTCACAGAGGGTTGTGGGGTTGTTGGGTTTTGTTTTGTTTTGGGGTTGTTGTTTTTTGCAATATTTGTTCAGATGGTGATGGGTTGTCTTTGTATCTCTCTGAGGCTCAGATAATATAACTTACCCAAAGTCACATGGGTTTCCATGGCCAAAGGGATTCAAACCCTGACCTCCAGAGTTGCAGTCCAGCATTTAAATCACTACACCACACTGGCTCTCTATGGGTGAAATTAGTAATTTTTTTCCTGGTTTTGAAAGTGTCCCTTTACATTTTGAGATAATTCTAAAGAATAATAATGATAGGAATGTTTCAAAAGATGTACCATTCTTTTATCAATGCTAATTCTCTCCCCAAAATGTTATCAGCAACACACTCTAATGAGTAACAACAAATTATTTTTGAACACTGTAACATATAATTGGAATAGTAATTTTAATAAAATCTAATTTCCCAAGCTCTGATTTGTGCTCTTTCTGAATCTGTGCAGTCAAGTTCAGAGAGGAAAGAGCAACAATAGCTACTGGTGGCTTCCATGTCAGAGGCATGGACAATTGTCCCATTCCAGATTTTAGTTCAAACTTTAAAGGCGCTGTTGAGGGGAGTTTGGAGGGTGCTGCTATCTTTCTTTGCTCCATGAATGCTCACTTAGAATGTATGTACGCTAATAGAGGCAACAAGAAATGAGCAGCACCAGCACCAAAAGACTCCAGTTCCTATCAGTGAAATCCTTGCTGGAAATGGAAGCCTTCACAGATGTTCAATGAAACACAGTGTTGGGCACTGTTTTTACTGGTGCAAGACAATCATGATCTTACTGTTCTTCAGCATGACGGCAGTAATGCATGTTTTTAAAAAAGAGAAACTCAGCAACCTGCAGCAAGAGCTATTCCTGTTGCAGTAGTCCTTAGAGAAGCAATCCAATTATGAAGGAAGTAGTCAGTATGGCAGCTGACACGAGGTTGTGTAGATAAGCAAAGTCAATTTCAAATGTGTCTACTTTGCATAATGAAATACACAGCTAGTGGCTGTTCTTTTTAAGAACCTCGCAGAAGAGTGAAAGCCTTAAGGAGAAAAGGCAGGTTGCTTGGCATGCTATAAGGGGTGTATCTGCACTGCAGAAATAGTGCACTTTGCCACCACTTTAACTGTCATGGCTCCATCTGACAGTATCCTGGGACTTGTAGTTTTGTGAAGCAACAGCACTCTTTGGCAGAGAAAGTTACTGGAGCCATAGCACTTAATGTGGTGTCAAACTGCATTATTTCTACAGTGTAGATGCACCCAAGGAAGGAGTTCAAACTGGAGATCTTTAGCTTCCAACAAAGCAGAAGTCATTGTGGGAATCAAACTGTGAAGAAAAATGCAGCAGAAGGTTACATTTAAATGGGAGATTATGGCTAATTATGGTTGTTGTTTTTTTAATCCTGTATCTGTCATTCAGTTTTCCAAACTTGTTTTGAAATAATGCAGCATAGTGCCTGATTTAGATATAAAGAGAAATTACCATCCTTTATCAACCTCCAAATGATATACAAACCAACCAAGGAAATCCAGCAAATGCTGCGCTTAGTGAAAGACAAGAGAGACCCTCTCCAAGACACAGGAGTTTACCGCATACAATGCAGCTGTGGACAAGTCTACATAGGGGCCACCAAACGCAGTATTCAAACACGAATCAAGAAACACGAGAGACACTGCAGACTGGGTCAGCCAAAAAAAATCAGCAGTAGCAGAACACCTTATAAACCATCCTGGGCATAAAATGCTATTTGAAAACACTGAAATTTTGGACCATGCCAACAACTAGCAGGTTAGAATACTAAGGGAAGCCATTGAAACCCACAAACACCTAGACAATTTTAACAGGAAAGACGAAACTTAAAATAAACAAAATCTGGCTGTCAGTCCGGAAAACACCAAAATCAAGACCCAGCATGTGCAAATGGAAACCACTCAGGGTCAGGGTTTTCCCAGCCGACAAAAGATCACTAATTGTCAGATACAATTTGAAGGCACACAACAACAAAAAGAAAATAGCATTACATATGAGTGTCACATATTTTGTACTGAATAGTTAATAGGTTAACAGCTGAAAGATTGTTTCTGAAAATGTTCTCTAACATTTTTTGTTGTTATTTGCTGACAAGTCAGCTTTGATTTATGGTGACCCTATGAATTATAGATCTTCAAGAGATCTTGGCTGGGATCCTGTTGGTAAGTTCCAGCTAGAGTATATTCATTCAATTAATTGCTGAATGGTGAGTCAACACATGATTCAATGAGCCTACTTCAGTCAGGACTAACAACAGAATTTAGGTCCTATTATTAAGAACCTTGAAAACTCAGGGCTGTGGTTTCCTGTACTGAATCATATTGTGTAATCTGTCTCTTTTCCTACTATCTTCAAGGTTACCAAGTATTACTGAGATGAGTCATGTTATCTCATGATATGCCCAAAATACAATAGGAGTTTAACAATTTTGGCATCTAATAAGAGTTCGGACTTTCTAACATTATTAGAGACATTAACATTAAAATGTTTCGTAACATTATTAGGTATAATAAGAAATGTTAAATTAGCTATATTGCTCTTTGATAACAGTTTATGTCTGCACCTGTTAAACATGGTACACCAGCGGGGGGGGGGGGGATTAATTCAAATAAATAATTCAGATATATTACTTTATTTTTTCAATTATACCAAGTTTTTGCTTCTCTTTTGCTCCTAGATAAAACACATTAAAGAATTAAAATCCTGGGTGTATTTCTCTAAGGGAAAGTCAGTACTAATTTTAAAAGAACAGAAGCGGAGGATATTGTTATTTCAGTAGCCATCCTCAAAGGATTGTTAATTAAAACAAAGTGTTGAATTAACTTTAATTAAAGTTTAATTTCAAAAAGTGATTTGTGGCTCTTACCTTCTCTTTCTGTTTTTAGTAGAATAGGAAGAACAAAATAAGCGCTAGATCATTAATATAGCCCTAACAAATCTTATTATATATTGTTTATTAGTTATCACTATTAGGTTAGCTGAGATTTTACTTAACAACATCATTCAAGCAAATCAATTAACAGGATTTGCAGTTTCAAATTCTCTGCCAGAGAGCTGTAATGCCTCACCAAACTTACTACACTCCAGGATTTATAATGCAATTCTATGGTCACTGAATATAAATATAAATAGCCACTGAAGGATGATAGGAATTGCGTACTCTCCAACTTCCCCCATTTAAAAGCAGCTGAAAAACTGAAATGAGAGGATTCTCTATAATCCAGTTTTTCAGCTGCTTTTAAAATGTTTCAGTTTCTTTCTCTGCAAACTTTTCCCCTTTGTAAGGTGTCACAAAGTGTCACCTGTATGCTGATGATACCCAGCTCTATCACTCCTTTCCACCTAATTCCAAGGAAGCCGTTTCTGTGCAAAACTGGTATCTGGCCGCTGTAAAGGACTGGATGAGGGCAAACAAATTGAAGCTTAATCCAGACAAGACAGAGGTGCTCCTGGTCAGTTGAAAGACAGATCTGGGAATAGGGATTCAGCCTGTGTTAGATGGGGTTACACTCTCCCTGAAAACTCAGGTTTGTAATTTGGAGGATTCAATGCTGAGCCTGGAAGTCCAGGTATCAGCAGTGACCAGAAGTGTTTTCGCACAGCTAAAACTTGTGCATCAGTTGTGCCCGTTCCTGGAGAAGTCAGATCTGGCCACGGTGGTACATGCCTGGTTTCATCCCATCTGGATTACTGTAATGCACTCTATGTGCGGCTGCCTTTGAAAAGTGCTCAGAAACTTCAGCTGGTCCAAAGAGTTGCAGCCAAGCTGTTAACTGGAGCTGGCTACAGGGAGCATACAACTCCCTTGTTGCAACAGCTCCATTGGCTGCCAGTCCATTTCCGGGCACAATTCAAAGTGCTAGTTTTGACCTATAAAGTCCTATACGGATTGGGTCCAGGCTATTTGAAGGACCATATCTCCCTGTATGAGCCCCCCCCAAGAGTATTGAGATCATTGGGAGAGGCCCTTCTGTCTGTGCCACTACCTTTTCAGGTGCATTTGGTGGGAACAAGAGAGAGGGCTTTCACAGTGGCTGCTCCCAAGCTCTGGAATTCGCTTCCTAGGGAGGCCAGGATGGCTCCATCCCTTATATCAGGGGTAGGCAACCTTTCCCCTTTAAGGGCCGAGGGACTTCAGCTCCCAGAAGCCTCAGCTATGTTGGCCAATAGTCCCATATTGGCCAATAGCTCCAGGGATTCTGGGAGCTGAAGTTCCTCGGCCCTTAAAGGGGAAAGGTTGCCTACCCCTGCCTTATATCTTTCTGGCGGGTGGTAAAGATGTTCTTGTGTGAGCAGGTCTTTGCAAATTGATAAGATCTGGGATTGCTGTGCTATTTAAA